TCCAACTAGAGGCATAAAAGTTTTATTTTGTTGTCGATTCTAAACAAACCTGGTGTAATTTTTTTTTGCAATTAGTAGTTTGGCAAATAACTAATATTTGGGTACTAATTATATTTTTCTGATGACTGTAGCCTCTTACTTCATTTTTAAAAATTATGTCGGTATTATCAAAATGTATGCTTATACATGCAAGATCCTTTGCGTCAGTTGGTTGCTAAATAAGTGAGAGACAAGAGACATAAACATAAATTCAATAATCTATTCGAAATATATGTTTATTGTATTAATTGATAATCTTAATGAGTAATATGTAGAGGAAAACGAATAAAGTGTAAAACGGAGTTTCATTTATGTTGTGCATAAAGCTATCCATTACACTTAAATTTTCCTCAACGTCTGTAAGTGCCATATGTTGAAGTCCATTCTACAAATGGTTTAGGCCTAATTTTTAACAATTTTGATTGTAAAATACTGTTCTTTTATTCAACACGTTAATATAAAAAATCAATCAAACATTTGCATAACTTATCGTTAAAATTGAAATATATATTGGTTGTACTTTACCTGCTGACAGATCTACCTCACCGAAATATATTATATTTGTTATCTTTTGGTTAGTCATAAATAGTAATTGCTCGCTAACAAAATGAATGTTATGTAATCAGTGTTCCATACATTTACTGACATAACATTTTTCACATCTGGTCTGGAAAAACAGATACCCAGAATGTGGCCTACGTTCTCTTAACGTGACGCCTCTACACTGTCTCCCCGCGTGTACGGACGCGATATACCTACAGGTCGTTTGTCTACCTCTCGCCTCGCGAAACAAGAGCAGAGCAGAGCCAGAGCAGGAACGCGACGCCACAGAACGAAGCGGCAGGTCGGCAGTGCGCGCACTACTCACCTCTGCGGCTGTCTGCAGCGGCAGGATGCAGCGCTGCGGCGGCGGCAGAAGAGGCGGCGGCGGCGGCAGAAGAGAAGCTGTTTCGGCGCAGCAAAAAGACGCACCCGGCGCTCAATTAGCACAGGCCCACGCACACGCGCCTCCCCCGCACGCAGCCTCGCCCGCTGGCACACACCGACTCGACTCGCGGGTGCGCGCGCGCGCCATATTTATCGCTCCCGGCGGAGCAGGCGAGCAGGGAGCGGCGGGAGCTCGAAATAATGGAATAGGAAGAGCATGACGTAGAGGGGACGGCTGTGGAGGTGAAGATTCGAGACGGTGTGTGGGTGGTGGAAAAACAGATGAAGGAGAGCTGGCCTCTGACTTGGTTGTTCTTGGGCGCTGACGGGGGCACTGAACTTGGTCGTACTGATGTTATTGAAACTCGTAGCAAACACTTCGTGGAAATAGGGTAAGGAGCGGAAAATCGCCGTGAATGAAGGCACGTGATGGGGATGAGGAGCTAGGGTGATTTAAAAATGATGACAATAGGAAGGAGAGGCTATTCCAGACTGAGGTGTGACTGCTAAACCGAGGAACTTTCTCACGAGGATAGAGTCGTGGAAAGAAGTCTCAACCTTCATTGCGTCAGGATATTTGCTGTGACTGCGGAAAATTCAGTACAGCGGCAGACTCTTCGTATAACATCGACGGGTATTGCTTACGCAGAACAGTAACGACAGGTCGAGATAAAGAAGGAAATGGAAGAGTATTGGAGTTGCGAACTGCAATGAAGGAGTTGCGGTGTGGTCGTCAGCTGCACCGGGGGCGTCGAGCCTTCAATGGTGACGGCAGCAGCACAATGGTGACAGCGGCGATGGTGACGGGCGCAGTAACCCTTCCGCTGGCGAGATCGTCTCGGGCGCGGGGTGGCCAGCAGGCGACGGAGGGGCGGCGGTGGCGGCGCCGCCTGCAAGCAGCGAAGGTTTTCTTTTAATTTCGAACATCTGACGGTCGAGTTGCGAGGGCGACGCGACATGGCACGGCCCGTACGGATATTATTAATAAAAACGCGTATACTCCTTGCGTTGTCTTGTAAGTGAATTATTGTCTTCAAAATGAGGACCGGCATTATGTAGCGTGAAAAAATAGATATTAAATGTGAAATAACGTGCAATTTTACAATGCTTCTTTCTATTCTCAAAAATAAAAATAACTAACAGTAGAATTTTATGGTTATAATGTAATTTTCAAAATGAATAATTTCATTAGTCTTCGTAGCGTAAACGTTTTGAGCGGAGAAAAGTTTGTTAAATGCAATCTGAATAGATCTTTCGAAAAATGTAGGTTTTTTTTCTTTTAAATGATTAAAAAAGTTTTGAATTATGGCAGACTTTATTTCGACGAATATTTTTAAAACATAACAAAAAAAATTCACTAATGCTATAAGAATCTTAAATGTATTTCATAGAAATATAGCCATCACACACTGGTTTCGTTGTATAATAGGGCTTTTTAGGACTTTTTGTATTCCAGCATTATAAAAAAACCTTTTCTGTTGAAAGAAATTGTTCATAATTGGGCATTTTTCTGCACAAATAATGAGGTTTTAGATTTTATGTCACGAATGATTGCGTCATCACAAATTCAGCCATTCATAGCGAGAGAATCGGAGAGAGGTAGAGCTAAACAGAGCAGCCGACCACCGTTTACTTGCACGATGTCAAATACCCGAGTTGTCGCAGAGAAGTTGTTTCGCAAAATTACGTTTGATTATCTTATAAATGTATAATGCTGTTATACAAAAAATATAGTATGCAACTCTTTTATAATGTTGCTTTATTGCATTCGCACAAATTTGAAATCGCGTTCCTAATGTCACTCGTTTTCAAAACATGTACTCATGCTTAACATTATAAACAAATTGCATTAACTACTATAAATATTGTTCTGTAAAAATACTGAGTTTTCTAATAATTGTATACTAGTTAGAGTAAATAGAAATAAGTGCAAGTTTTGAAAAAGTACGAGTAATTGTATTGCAGGTGAATCGTAAATGTATTTCACAATTACACCTTAGAATGTTGTGTTATATATACTCGATAACTATAAATTTTGAACAGTGATAAACAATTATGTGCATTGCAAGATGCTCAGGTTGAAGTTTTTTATTCATCATGAAATCTCATGAAAAGACTGTAAAGTGAGTAACGTATCAGACAACCTTCATAGCGTTGAAACAAAGAAAACTCAGAAGGTTTACTTGATTACAGTTTTCTAGTAATTTGCCCGCCCTTTTCTCTTTCTCTACCCTGCAAGGCAATAATACTAATAGTCGAGCTGCGGAGACTCAGTCATTGTCCACAGGGGCCGTAGGCCGCTCATCCGCACAAAACCACTTCCACGGAGATAAATTTCTTTAGACACAATCAAATCTTGTTCCAATCCATCGCTCTCCATGTTCGGAAACAATAGGTTCCACTCAGCAAACAGAGTGTTACTAACAAGTTCCACCTTCCAGGAGCGGCGGCGCGCAGCCAGCCATCCATTGAGGCCGCGTTGGCGGCGGCGGTGGTGGCGGCGGGGCGGGAGAGGGGGTGGGTGAAGGGGAGGGCGGAGGGAGGGCGGGTGAGAGCCGGTAAAATGCACAGACGCCCGCATTCAAAAATGAGGGGGCGCGGCAGCCTTGCCCCGCTTGCGCCCACTGGCCGCCCCGCCCCCGCCCCGCCCGCCCCGCCCGTGGCCCAGCGCGCCACCCTTCAGCGCACTTCGCTCGCGCAGCGCCGACCGCCAGCAGCGGCTTTTTCTCCAACCCGCTCTCGGTGCCGCATGTCGTCAGCTAGGCCGCAGCGGCGCTGGGGGCCTTTCGCTCTGTTTTTGTGCGGGCTGTTCCTTCGCACTCTGTGCTTTCTAGCCGCTCCCGTGTGGGGTAGTCTGGAGTTTTTACGTGTCATTTCCACCTCGTTATGTCCCACCTTCCCTAGCAAAATCTTTATTTGAACTCTGGTATTAACTTCCTTTCTTCTTAGGTTCCTTCTTTCGTCTCAACTCTTTACTTCTAATTTTCATTTTATTTTGCATGCATTCGTCCCTTTATATTTAATATTTGTACTATTCAAAAGGAAACTATATATTTAAACTTTACTGTATACCTTCCGTTTCCCACCTTCAAATTCTTACGATTACATTATTTTCCGGGCATTGCTTTTGCCTAACCTTGTTCCAGACATCTTTATTCTTTATATCACTAGTTTTCACACCGCCACCTTCTCGTCCACTTTTTTTCCAGTCCTGTCGTTAGATTATCAACTAGCAAGCATTATGTGGTCTGCTTTTGCGAGGTTCTTACTTTTTGCGTTGTGCTTTCTAGCCGCTCCCGTTTCATTTCCAGCTCGTTATGTCTCACTTTTCCCAGCAAAATCTTTATTTGTAGTAGGGCGTTAACTTCCTTTTTCATCCCAACTCTCTACTTCTAATTTTCATTTTACTTCGTATGCCTTCGTCCCTTTATATTTAATAACTGTTCTATTCCAAAGGAAACTATTTAAATTTGACTGCATAAGTTACCTTTTGTCACTTTGGGATTCTTGCAATTGTATTATTTTTCGGGCATTCCTTTTGCCTAAGCATTTTCCAGACATCTGGTTAACTAGCTCTTTTTATATCACCAGTTTTCACAGCGCCGCCTACTCACCCGCCTTTTTTTTCAATTCTCCCCTTGCCTTGTCAACTAGTGGGCGTGGTGTGGTCTGTTTTTCCGGGGTTCTCCCTTTTTTGCACTGTGCTTTCTAGTAGCTTTCACAAGCTTGGATTTTCTGGCCTTTTGCGATTCATTTCTACCTCGCCTCGTTATATCTTACCTTCTGCAGCAAAATCTTTATTTGCATTTGGACGTTAAATAACTTACTTAAAAAGTTCCCTGTTTTCTGGCATTCCAAGATATGTTTTGATTTTTACACACATACGCATTTCTATATTTCATTTCTTCTGTACTCACTAAAGAAAATTATTTTAAATAAGGTTGGCTGCACATCTTACATTATCAGCCAGCCATTTTTGCGCATGCTTTGCTTCTCTTGTTTAACCATTTGTTCAAACCCATCCATTACCTGTATGACATGTTACTTTCTCTCCATCTGAGTTGTTAAATTTGCTCTCTCGTTCATTCTCGGGCGTTCAGTTAATACTGCCATTTTTCTTGCAGTTACGTATCCGTGAACAATTATTACTTTCACTTCCAATTGTAGTTAACTTCTTGTTTTCTATTTCATTAACATAAATATCTTTTTAATGTCTCTTAATTTACACTTGGTTTCCCATCCCGCCTGTCATGTCGTCTCATTATTTGGTTCCGCATTTTCTCCTCTTTCTACGCGCTTCTATCCCCTTTCTTCGCAAGCTCGGGTGCTCCCCGTCAAATGTATAAATGCCGCAATATTTCTAACACAAATTGGCAGACGTAAACACTCCGCGCATACACGCGTCAAGGCCGCGAGAATGGATGTATTGAAGGCGCAGTGCAGGGGAACGGCTTCGATTAATTATTTCCTCGCTGCAGCGGTGCAGCTTCGAGATTCTTGGGGGAGGGTCCGCCTACGTTTACATACTTATTACTTGGGCTCTACATAACCAGGTTTTAAGTATAGTATTATTGTTATTGTTATTATTATTATTATTATTATTATTATTATTATTAT